GACTCGATCATGTCCGTCGGCACGTCGACCCTCCTCATCAACTGCAGCAGTTGCTGACTCCACTCATAAACGACGGACATCATCATCCCACCTCTATCCATCCTGCACAACAGCTGGTGGACGGGCGACATGACTAGGATGGCGTAATGGACACGCTGCCAAAACTCCCCGTCCCGGATCTGCTGCTGCACCCACTGCGCCTGAGATACGTGGGCGCGATCCCATGGGATGTGTGCCCAAGCATCCCCGTGCAACTTGCTCTCCAAAGCGTCTTGTCGGCCTTTGAGACACGTCAGCATCAGGAAAACCGATGCAAACCGTGTCTCAACGGGCTCGACGAGCTGAACGCGACGGCTCACCTTCCTAAACAGGGCGTGAGCAGCGCCGTGCGATTTAATAAATCGCACAAGTGCTCGAGCGCGGATGACGGTCTCCTTGACCCACACCACTCGCGTCCCAATATCTGACAACATCAAGTTGCAGACATGGGTGGAGCAGGGGAGCCAAGTGATCCTCCTGATGTCAGGCTCGGGGTCTGTGGCGAACCTGCGCGCTGCCGCCGTATAGTTACTGGCGGAGTCTGTGCAGAAGCCGATCACGTTCTTTGCAGGAAAGGACAAGATGATGGCCCGCCACCTACGGTACACGACGTCCGCTGTGTCTCGGACCGACCAATCACGTGCGACGGTGGCGTACAGCAGGGCGCCATTGGCGCCCCGGCCAGGAAGTTCACGAGCGGCTTGCCGCTGCATGACTTCCTCCCGTCGGAAAGGATAGTGGAACCGCTGTGCCGGAAAGTGGCGCGCACCTCGCTCACCATCGTCGCCACCTTCGCCCTCTGCGAAGGGATACCGGCCCCCGCTGTATTCCTGAAGGAGGGAAACCGGAACTGGATAGAGCGAGGCACTCTCTCTGCTGCCTGCCGCACCCTCTGGAACTCCGGACCTCGGAAGGTGTTGAATGGCAACTTCTTCACGTAGATCCACTGAAGCCACGCGTCATGGAACTCGGCCAACTTCTCCCTGGCGTACATCTCGACAATCGTGGTCTGTCAAGCCCTCTTCTCCCTGCCCGTGTTTGGCACCTCGATGCCAGCCTGCCCCACTTCTACCTCCTCGCGCGATCCACCTCACCTCGCGGCGCCCTAGTAGCAGGACCCGCTCCACCGACGCCTCTCGACGTCATCACCACCTCCTCCCCTGGCAGGTTAGGCTCTCCGACTGCCTCGTCTGCCTCGTCTGCAACCGCCCCCTCCCTGGCCCCACCCTCGCGGCCCTCCTCCTCATCGAGGGCGTCCTGAATGTCGTCCCTCTCTGCGTCGTCCATACGCTGTCTCTGGCCACCTGCGGGCGCTCTCGTGTCCCGTATGCCCTCGTCTGCCATCCACCTTTGCACCCGCTGAGCAGTGGACGACACAAATGTGTAGTCCGTGCCGTTCCAGAGTTCCGCGAGAACTCTCATCCCCCCAGCCTTGCAGAACTTCGACTGCGTAAAATGACGCGTGGCCTTCGACGACCCCCCCTGAAACAGGTGGCCGCATAAGTTGCAACGCAACTTTCGGTCCCCGTGCATCTTCGACTGGTCCCCGACGTACTGGCCCGCGGTGACGTAGTTCCAAACAATGTTCCCTCGCCTCAACTTCGCCATCTCGTTCTCGGACAGCGGGTTGAATTGGGCACCCCCAGACCCCCCGCACACCGCTGCTCCCTGCAACCCCCTTCATCCCCCCCCCACCAGGATCCAACAAGTCGTGACCTCGATCTTCGATGTCGTCTGACCGTCGATGTAGCGTCCCCTCGATGTCGCTGCACCCTGACGCCCCCGCCGCTCCTGCCGCCGTGTCCCCTCGATGTCGCGCCAGGCCACGGTCCACCAGCACCCCGGCCGGCCGCCCGCAACCGGTCCTCCGAGGCGGGCAGCTCTGCCCGGCCGCCGTCGGCCGTGATCGGCCTCGATCGGCCGCGTTCGGCCGCGTTCGGCCGTGTTCGGCCGTGTTCGGCCGCGGCCGGGCACTAAAAACGCCGCGCGCTTGAAAAAGACGCGCACGGCGATGGCGACGGCCGTGCGGCGGCCGCAGGGCAGCGCGGGGCCGCTATCCCGCGTGCTCGCGCGGCGCGCGCCGCTGCAGGGTGCGCAGGAAGAAGAAGAAGAAGAAGAAGAAGATCTCTCTCTCTCTCTCTCTCTCTCTCTCTCTCTCTCTCTCTCTCTCTCTCTCTCTTTCTCTCT